ATCAAGGTTATTGTAAGACAAGAGAACATGCTGTTTTTATCATCCACCCCCTTGCTCTACCCAAGAAAAATACTGAACAGCAGTGAGCTCGTATTAAGGGCTATATCTAGTTACTGCTAAACTGGCAGGTTTCTGTCAGGCTTCTAAAAACAATTCGCATTGATTTTTTGACTTTGGAGCTAAAATTAATAAGGAGCCCAGGAAGGCCATGGTTTTTCCTTGAACAGAGAAATAACCCAAAGGCTATGTTAGTGAATGAATTGGCTGTGCTAGTGAAGGGTTGTTGTTGTTTTTTTAAGTATGTATATAAAATAATAGCAATCAAATTGAAAAAGTAGGGCAAACTATTTTATATAGGATGGATAAATAACAAAGTCCCACTGTATAGCACAGGGAACTATGTTCCATATCCTGTGATAAACCATAATGGAAAAGAATATGAAAAAGAATGTGTATATATATATATGTATGTATGTATATATATATATGTATATATCTGAATAACACAGCATTGTAAGTCAACTATACTTCAATAAAACAAATTTTTTAAAAAATTGAGGGCTTCCCTGGTGGCGCAGTGGTTGAGAGTCCGCCTGCCGATGCAGCGGAGACGGGTTCGTGCCCCGGTCCGGGAAGATCCCACATGCCGCGCAGCGGCTGGGCCCGTGAGCCATGGCCGCTGAGCCTGCACGTCCGGAGCCTGTGCTCCGCAACGGGAGAGGCCACAACAGTGAGAGGCCCGCGCACCGAAAAAAAAAAAAAAAAAAATTGAGAAAGTGGGTAGTTACACAATAAAAGTAAGTATCAAATTTTGGTCTGCTTCCATTGTAAGCCAGCAGTGACCCTTCCACTTGGCTACTGGGGAAATTAGAATGTTTCCTTAACTAATACTTTTGTAAAATAATAAAGTCCCCAACCTCCCTGGCATACATATTCACAGCTGACAAGTCTGGGCTTGTGGGTCAGGGTAATTAATTACCGGAACTAACACCGACGTTACCATTGATTTACAGACACCTGTGAAATCTAAACCATAGAAACTAAGAATTAAAAGGGTGCAGAGGCTGTCCGGGGCAGCTCCTCTGTGCCACAGAAACCTTTTCTACACGTGGGCTTGGTGGCACGACAGTGACATCAACACCATAAGCTCCTAAAAAGACAGAGCCACACTAGAAGTTACTTTTCTATTCCCAACAAAGTCCAGAAGGGTACTGGTACTCTGAACATCTATTTGTTACTCTTGATTTAGTAAACATGTGTTGATGGTACACAAACGCCTCCGATGCCGTTGAGAAATCAAAACAAAACAAGCATTCCAGCGGCACGCCGAGAAAGGCACTGGGAAGGAACAGAGAATCCTGGACTAGTCATCTTGTGAAGCCAATTGCTTTCTCAGTAGAATTAATTTTTCTTTCACTTCAAGCTCACTTAAAAGTTAATAAAGAAGCCTAGCTGGCTGGATCATCTATCTCTTCATTTACCCATCCGTTTAATCACTAGCCACCATAGACTGAGAGTCTGGGAAAGCACCTAATCATTGGATTTAATTGGTTCTGGCGCCTACCGTTTCCTAATAACCTTTTCTGCCTTGTCTTCCATTAGAGGCAGATCTTTTAGGGTGAGTAAATAGGTCAGATTTCACAGGTTTTTTTTTTTTTTTTCAATTTTCTGTTTGCCACAGGAGTAAATTAAAAACAAAAAGAGCGAATAGCTCTGTTCTTTATGGAAGTATTTGGTTCTTGGTATTTATTGTTTGGGAATTCAAGAGAAATTCTAGTGCTAGGCTAAGATTCACAGGTTGGTGAATATCCTCTAAGGAACAGATTACATGAAGAGTCATTTCTAGAAGCTTTAAATATATTCCTCGGCATCATGCTTTTTCCTTTAAATTTCAACAGCTTTATAAAACTGAGAACCACAAAGTAAGGCTGACTGGAAGTCAAGGTTACATCCCGAGGGTTGCACCTTCCCCTAACGTTTATAGTTGTGACAAGACACTCACCAGCTTCGTTAGCAACTTAGTTGCTAGCTTCCCACAACCAATACTTGTTAGCCAGCCATCCCTACTGCTGGTAATGCAAATTTTCACTTCAACTACCTACACTTCACAAAACATGGCTCATCCTTTGCTCTTAATGAACATGGATAATTCCAGATGAAAAGTCACTAAGAGAATCCTTTTATGATATGTGGCAGCTATCACTTTTTTGTGTCTTAGCTCCAAATTCATGCGCCAGTGCATGTTCTGTAATGATGGACAGAACTCCCTTAAGCATCTTTCCTTCACAGTGAGCACGATGTTGCGTTCTCAGTAGAGAGTGCTGGAGGGACACTGCAGGACCAAGGGGATGCTCCTGTGGGGCTGCTGCGAGGTGGGTCAGTGGTGTCGGTCTGATGGTGCTGCTTTAACTCGGGCCCCCAGAACACCTTGGTGCCTCGGGGACCTTGTAGCTCTGGCCTGGCCTGGTGATGACCAACCCCCCTGCAAGCACCCTTGACATAGACACACATGCTTCAGGCCTCCTGCCAGCACTGGCACCTCATCTCCATCTGCAAGCACCTACTGGCCAGGGCTCACCTGGCCCCGCCTACACTCCGGGGTGCAGGTCGGGAGGGTGTGGTGGGGTTCGCTTCCTGTTGCCAAGCAACCGTAGAGCAGCGCTGCCCAGGGGGAACCGTGAACCTCTCAGCCAGCCAGTAGGCTGTAACTACAGCAAACTCTGAAGCCCAGCCACCCTTCCTCCCAAGTTTGTCCTTCCTTGGGTATTCTCCTTCAGCCCCAGGGTAAAATATAGTTTTCTTATATCTGGGAGTTACCCTTTCATCAAAGTTTAATAATTCTTGATATCTAACTTCCCCTGTTTAAATCACCATGGGGTGTGTATCTCCTGATTGGTCACAGCCTAATACAACACGCTTCCCACTTAGCAACCAGTAGTTGTCAGCAGAAAAGACATAAGGCATCAAAGTTACCAGTGATACCATAAGAAAAAAACTAGACTTTTCAGTACATGGCCATATAATTAATTATCAAATAGACTACTGAACACACACTGACAAACCATGTATTTCATTTGACTGTAGGGTCAGCTTTTATCTAACAAATTTACTGTATTGAAGTAAAAAGAGGACATATAAGTAATTCCTCTCTCTTAATACAAAACTGACCCAGACCAAATAGTATAAGATAAGAAACACTCACAAAAAGCAGCTTCTGAGATACTAAATAGTACACACTTATGCTCACGGGTAAGGTACAAAGAATACTACATCACACAAACGTAAATATCAATACAGGTACCAATGTAGTTATCAAAAAACTCCACACGATGGTCTTAATACAAGATAAGAGATAGGGATCTGGTTTTTATAACATATTTGGATTTAACTGGTGATTGGTGATTATGCCATTTCTGAAGTAGGAAAGGGTTTACTCTGTCCTTTCTCAGAGGTTTACAGGTAAAAGATATAAACCAAGGTACAAAGAACAAAACAACCAAAAAAACCCAGGACTTATTAGCATAGAGTTCTTGGGCTTTGGCTGGACAGCTTATTCGGTGACTTACGTCACCACACAAAGGATGCTGTTCCAACCAGCAGAAAATTAAAATGTAAATTATAACAATAGCATATTGAAAATACTACCCAGTAAAGGGCCATTTGCAATGAGAATGACTAATATAGTTTTCAGTAACACTGGAGGAAACTTAAAATCCATTCTGTTAAAATGACCCAATTTTAGGAAGATAGCTGTCTCCCTGGGTAGGCACTACTATCACCCAAATTCCCCTTTCATCCACTTGTCATTTTGTCTGCACTACCTGATTCCAGTAATACCTGTCCATCCTCACTGCAGAGGTAACTGTTTACATTTTGGGGCTCGGGTAAAGCTGTCCCTAGAGAACTGGGTCACTCTGGAATGGTCTAAGAGGCAGCCTGGTCCCTAAAGGAGTCAACGATAGGGAACTGGTTTCCTGCTGTCGTCATTCAGGAACTGACCACAAGTCTGCATGCTGTGGTCATTTTACCTGCTAAATACGTAACCGCTAAAAGTTCTGTTTGCCCAGTCAACTTATGACTAGGATGGGAAACCTGTCAGTATTCGGTTTCTCATTTATGACTGGGATCCAGTAGAATAAATATTTCTTAGGCCTGCAAAACAGTACAGGAAGGGAAGAAGCAGCCGGAGTCCTTCCTTCCTTCTGGTTGCCAATCTGGAGAGTAAAAACATTGCTGTTGTCATCACTCTGTTCCCCCTGTACATGTTGGTTAGGCTGTGGCTAGGAGCGGATTGGGTAAGAGTGGTTTATCCCCAAAGACAGGCAGGGAGAGAGAAAAGGACGCATCTGGACTAGGGAAACGGTGTCGATGCTGAATTGGTGGTGTTTCTGCCCCGGCTCTCGACCTCGGAGTCACCTCTGAGCCTAGCTGTGGACTGTCCTAAAGCCCATGTATTTTAACCTGGTGATAATATTAGCACACAACATGAAATGGATTGACAGGGAGAAAATTAAGAGAAAAGTATCATCCCAACTGAACAGATGGGAAAATAGTATCAATAAGCTAAATCAAATTAGCATGAAAAATGTGTCTATCATTTATCTCAAGTTGTTCCACCCATTCCCAAAGGCTAAATCCTTCCTAGGTGTGGTAGCTCATTAAAATGACAAATGAAGAGCCCCAAAGCAGCATGCAAAAGCAGCTACAGGAAACACAGATGGCTGGCATCTCTTGGTTGGCAAAGGCTGTACTACAATCACTCTTTTATTTCAGGGAAGGGTCCCAAACTAAATCATTCAAAGAAACATTCTACCACTTAATGAGTACCGTTACCACCAATTGTTTTCATGATCAGAATAATACAGGCCTTCCCCCCAAACTATTTGGCTAAGAGAGTAGCAAAAAGAAAATGGTTAAAAACCCTGGGCAGGGAAAGGAAGCTATTCTCCCTTAATATTCACATTCTGTTTTAATCTTTGGCAATGAGACCAGAATGAAACTTTTAAAAGCATATTATCCATATATTCTTTCGAGCTCAAATGAGTTTTACAGATACAGAGAACTAACATTTTAGGAAATCTAGGACAAAATCCTATTAATATTCATCACTGTTCTGCAGATTATAGATGGTATCTGTGTGATTCATTGAAGTCCCTCTTTTTTTAAAAAAAGAACAAACAGATAAAGGCCACCATGACTTAGTTGGACCGATTCAACAGGGGACATCAACTTTACGTGACAATACAGGAACGAGAGGCTGGACACAGAGAGATGTCTCATGTTACAAGGCACACACATTACTCTTCTTATTCCAGGAAAAAAACTCTCCCCCTTCACGACAAAATTGCTTCAAGCTAGGGGGACAAAAAGCAAAATGAGAAAAGCATTTATCCTTGGCATCAGTATTAGAAAATTATATTCCAGAAGAGGTTCACATTTCCTTTCATATAACAATTAAAAAAAGGAGATATTTTGCCAAAATGCAAAAAAGCATTTAAAGGTATTTCTTTCTCTACTGGAAATTCAGGTAAAGAGGCTGGAACAGAACTGTCCAAGAGAACTAGAACGCAAGCCATATACGTAATTGAAAATTTTCTAGTGGCCACATTAAAAAAAGACAAAATTAGTTTTTAATATTTAATTTAACCCAATATATCCAAAATATTATCACTTAAAACATAACCAATATAAAAATTAATAGTTTACAGTTTTCATACTAAGTCTTCAAAATCTGGAACATATTTCACACTCACGGCACATCACAAAGTCAATGAGCCACGTTTCAAGTGTCCAATAATTCTATGTGGCTTGCTGGTACCACGCTGAGCAGCGCTGTTCTGTACTACAGAGCTTTCATTTCCATTACATTAATGATGATAGATATTTGCACTAGAGCTTTTTCAGTGGAAAGTTTGGTTACAGTGAGTTTTATCATTATAGAACCCAAAAGGATGTATATTGCAAGAGTATGGACCGCTGTTTTAATAAAAAGGTCTAAATCTTTGTGCCATTCATTATAAGCAGTACCAAGTTTTCAGTTAACATGCTTTCAAATGTCAGGGTCCTTGGTCTATTAAAAATGCTGTCCCCTGATTAGCAGGGGCCTCAGAAAAGAAGACTGCATTGTAGTGTCCTGTTCTTATACCTGCCAACCAGTTTACACACATGAAAACATGCTACTACCACAACATACTGGGTTATAGTCACATGATGGTCACATTTCATTCAGATTAAGAATTAGTTAATTATGAGTATAGGTTCAGTCCAGTCTCCTATAACTCAAATAAATCATTATGCGGGGGGTGGGTGGGGAAGTAGAAAAGAACAGCTTTATTGCTTTGCCAGGCAAAGGGGGCCACAGCGGGCTAATGCTCGCAAAACTGTGTGTTCTGCAAATTAATCATTTTTTAATGATTAATCCTTTTAAGTCCTTTTAAGTATAACATCATTTTGGCCTATCGTTGTAAGCCTGTTCTATGTTAACATAGTAAGGAAATGTGCATATATAAACATGCAGTCTGTATAAAGATTTCCTTCTGGTTTAATTCTGTAGCAGAAAACCAAATCATGACATTAATTTCCTACCAAATAACTGGAATTGATGAGCCTTGAAATCTCTTCAAAGAAGGAACCCTTTGAGAGCATAGAGAGGTTTCCAAGGTATATCTTCTCTTGGCTAATACGCTGACAAGGTGAAAATTAGCATACAATAAAAACACACAATATCTGTGTTTAATTTTATTTTCTCCAAATAGAATAAAGTTTCACATGCTTTTTTTCATAATTCTGGAAACAGTTTCAGAAGATTTCCACTCCAAATATGGTTTCTCTCTAATAGGTGAGCATTAACCAGGAAAAGGTTAAGTATAAAGAACTTTTAAAAATTAATAATTGAAAAAAAATAAAATACTCACTTATTTAAAAAAAAAAAATTGAAAACACACCACCATAGAAAAAATGGTAAAAGACACAAAGGGGGATTTCCAGGAAGAAACAGTAATTCCCATAGTAAAAACATGTTCATCTTATTAGTAATCAAATATATGCAAAATGAAACCACAACGAGATACACACCTCAGCTTGACAAAACTTTGAGTCTGATGATCTTAAATGTCGGTGAACATTGAGAGTACCAGAAATTCTAGTACACCAGTGGAGTGTCAGTTGGTACCATTACTTTGGAAAACAATTTGGCCTTATCTGTTCAGGTTGACGATGTGCTTTATTGCACGTGTGACACAGCAATTCTACTCAAGGTATACATCTACTTGTGTATGTGCACCAGAAATCACACAGAAGAATGTTTGTAGCAACATTTCCTTTCTCTATTTCAAAGAAAGATGTATTTCCATATTCAGCAATAGGAGAAGGGAAAAATTGTGATATACGACAAAATAATACTTAGCAGTGAAAATAAACAAGCTAGGGCACTTGTTTCAAAATGATTATGCCCAAATGCAATGACCATAAAAAGAAGGTGACAGAAGAACAGAGTTTAATTCCATTTATTAATTTTTAAGGATATGTACACAAAGGTAAAATAATAAAGGACAGGAAGGCTATGATCAACAGGGCGTTCAGGACGGGCTCCCGCTATCAAACAGGGACGAGACAGGGTCAGGGAGGGAGCACACAGAGCCCCAAAGGAAAGGCAGGCGGCTGGTGGCAGACATACGGGGGTGTGTTTATTTTTCTTTATGTGTCAGTGTATATATTATATACGTGTGTGTGTACATATTTATTCCGTTGCATGTAGGAAATCATTTAAAAAATTGGACTGGTTGAAACATACAAAGAAAAAGACTATACAGCACGTTTCAGATGACGAACCATCGCTTGGAACATTGTGAACTTACCTGTTTCTCAAGTCACTGCCACTGTCACTGCTGCTAATCCTTCTCCGTTTCTCTCCTCTTTGAGGGTGGAGACTATTGTCCTGCTCAGACAGTCCCTGTCACATTCTAGGGGTTCAACACACGCTGATTAATGGGATGACCAAACTAACCTGGCCTGCATTTCTAGAAAACTAGGAAAACTTTGAAAATCTGGGTTACAAGTGGGCGGGGATTACTTGGCTTCTTTGGCTTCACAATTTAGTGCATTTCTGGAAACTGACAGCCTGTTCTCTTTATCTCCTCCTTCACCCTCCCTCATCTTGGTGCTTAAGTTAGAAATAGTTCAGCGATGGGCTTAACCTCAGACGCTGCCTTCAGAAACGTCTTCTGCCTTCAGAGGTGTTTGCAGCAAAGGCAGCCCTGCTATTAAGGGCTGTGGCTACACTGTACTTTTCTCCTGCACGAAATTAGGGAAGGGAATCCACAGCCCATCGCTTCATTGTACTCAAGAAACCACCGTCATCTATTTGAACCAACCAGGGGATGAGCGATTTAACGCCATCCTTCGTCCTGGTCACTGTCTGAGATGATTCTGCAGTCACCTCCAACACACACACTTACACATACACACACACACACACACACACACACACACACACAACCACAAGTGTGTCTCCTCAAGTACTCAAATGATCCGTCTGCATTTTTACAACGAATCTGCAGCTTTCAGGTATGGGGTTCATGATGGGAGCAGAAATACAGCATCCCAGCTAAACAAGAAGGTTTCAACCAAACACAGAAGCAAAATTAGAAAAGGTGTAAGAAACGGTCGGGAACAAGCACTCCATTTTCAGAATATGTGTTTTCTGTAATTTATTCCTCTTTAATGCTGAATATAAAATCTGAGATTTCACCAATGCCTTTAGAGACAAATAAATGCATACAAATGGAAATCTAAACACAATAATTTTGCAGATCAAAGTGGGCTCTGACACTTTAGAAAAGGTGTAAGCATTTCTAGAAAAAGCAAAACCCTATACAGCAAAATCAAATTAAAAAACAAAACAAAACAAACCAGAAAGAGGCTTTGGTACCTTTCAACAAGGAAGGACAAAAATAAGTTTAGTTCGTGATTAAATTCGTGTAATATAAAAACATCTATGTGGGAGTGTTGAATAAATCTATACAACAGAAACAAATCTAAAATATATTAGAGCCTGAGAGAAAAAAAAAATCCTCCTTTTCTCCTTTTTGATTTTAATAGAATACCAGACTGTGGAAAAACAAGTACTTCCCCAACTAAATTTTCTTCTGGTCTGCATATACCTAGCAGGATGGCACTCTCTGTATTTTATCTCATTTTAAAATGGGATAATTTGATTTTTAGCAGCACATTTTCTTTGCCCCAACAAGCCTACTACAGGAAATAAAAATTCTGTCTTAAAATGCTTTTGATATTACATCTATGTCTGCAATTCCCATCCACTTCTTTCCTAGATTTTTAAGACTATGATTATTCAGATCTAAAGGCAGCTAGTTAAAGAAGGGATGAAGGGCTTCCCTGGTGGCGCGCTGGTTGAGATTCCGCCTGCCGATGCTGGGGACAGGGGTTCGTGTCCCGGTCCGGGAGGATCCCACATGCCGTGGAGCGGCTGGGTCCGTGAGCCATGGACGCTGAGTCTGCGCGTCCGGAGCCTGCGCTCCGCAACGGGAGAGGCCACAACAGTGAGAGGCCCGCGTACCGTAAAAAAACAAAACAAAACAAAACAAAACGAAAAAAGAAGGGATGAAGAAAACCATTACAGGTTTGGAATTCAGCTGGTAAAACACAAGTAAGGACACAGTGCAGTCCCAGAGGGCAATACCTTAGGACTCTGCAGAGCCTGGGTACTGAGGGAAATGCCACACAGTGTGTTTCTAGCTTGCTCATAACAAGCACAATACCAGGTGAAGCTGGTCTCTCCTATTTCTTTGCTGCTCCAAAAAAAAAAAAAGTGGGGTGGGGTAGATGATCTGTAACTGTGGTAAATAATTTAGCACTCCTATTCATCTAGTCTGTTTAGGACAACCATACTGGGCCTACTACAACCAGAGTAATTCAGAAGTTTTGAGACAAACAATTCTGAGTAGCTTTCTTGGTCTAGCAGGTATTGAATTGATCCTACAACCCCAAGACTCAATCTTACCAAGTTGCTTCTCGGTAGTCACTGGCAAGAGTAGACAAAATGTAAGTTAGACCATTGCAACGTTAACTTTTAAAAACTGCTGTATCTTAAAAAGAAATTCTAAGTCTTCTTAGACTTTAACACGATATCCAGTTCAAAAACATTTCCTGGTTAGTCCCTGGGATTTATCAAGTGGAATTTGACCTGGATCGTATTTAATGCCAACTAAGCAGTCACAGCCATGATTTTACAGCAGCTTTCCTTGCAGAGAAAATGGTGGATCATATATCTGTTCCAGTCATGTAGTAATCAGTGGCATGCTTTCCTTCTGGTTGTAGTCCTGGGATGCAAATCTCAGGCTGGGATGTCAGCTTTAGCATTCAACAAGTTCTTTAGAATAGGAGGGAGAGAGAACACAGGTGACAGGGACTAAATTCTTCTGTTCTTTCCATTTCTTACAAACTTCCTGCTCAGAATCAAAAGGGCAGGTCCACCATCAGGACACTGAGAATAGCGGAATATCTTAGGCAGCACTCTGAGTTTATTCTATTCAAGACTATTCCCAGCTTTGGCAACTAAAAACTCTAAAAAAATGTGAGCAGGGACAAGGATGCAGAAAAGAAGCCTTTGCCCTAATGAAGTCGACAGGTTCAGTGTTTGTCAGCACCCACTCCAAAGGAAGGAGAGATTTCACATGCCAAGTACAATTCAGAGTGAGTCTCTGACAGCCCCTTTCTCGTATGTACTCTGTTCTGAAAAATCACTGGTGTTCATATATGGAATGAGAACATGTATCTATGTTACTCTGAAAATCCGGAACTGTGCATTGGCCAGAAATATGAACTGGCAGTGTCAGAGGACCGATGAAAAGTAACACAGGAAAAAAAATTAAAGTGTGCAGCAATATTAGTATCTTTTAATATGCCTCATCAAGGGTTCACAAAATATATCTAACCGAGATCTTCTTTTCTCGAAAAATACAATCCCTTTGCAAAATATATAAGCAGCTATTAGTTGGAGGAGCTGCGTTTAAAAATATATGTGCACTTACACATAATAAGTTGCTAGAGCTGAAATGCCTTCAGGTACGAGTCAGATAATGTCCCTATAAATTAACTATCAGTGCACCTCTTTAAATATATCTTTTAAGTCATCTTACACATTAGGTGAAACTTTTCCTTTGTAAGAGATAAAGAAGCATTTTTTTTCCCAAATAGCAATTCTTTTCATCCCTGTCAACTGGTTCTGATCACACATTGTTGCAACAGTGATTTCTGGAAACATCTGTAGGGGTTTGGAGGATTTATGGGAGGTAAGAATTTCCATTACCAAAAGGAGGCTAGAACATCTAAGTTTTTCCTACAGTTATGACAAAGCACTGGAATAGTGACGCCTGTGAATCTGCAGCAAAGATCTTTAGCCCTTTGTCAACCAACATTGCTTTTTTTCCTTTCTGATCAAAATATTCTAAGAGCCTGGCAGACTAATTTCAAGGACACCACCTAGGCGGCCTGAAGAGAAGCAGGTCTGAGCAAATCCTGGCATCAACTACAACCCAGGGCAGATCCAGTACTTTCTCTCTGATGGTGCCACCTGCTTATCACTCAGTTATTCAGGAGGCACACCTGTAACAGGTGACAGTACCGCCGGGTGAGTGAGGCAACTGCAGGCAATTCTGAAAACAAGGAAAAAACCCACCACGGTCCTGATTTGGTTTAAAGCACTCATGCAATCCCATTAGACCCATGTCTTCCCAAAACACCTTTTCCGTGGCAAGCAAAGTTACTGATAATGCATGTGGCTTCTGTCACAGTGATGCATTAGGTAAGCAGGTGTGTGCTGAGTACCAGGGGCGCTCCAAAATGCATCTCCGTCCTCTTCCGCTTGTCTTCGCTAAGGTTCCGCCTATTTATTTTAAAAAAAAAAAAAAAGCCAGTTATTGCATTGTGCGGGCAAGAAATTTCACCCTGGCGGTGATATTTTAAATGTCAGGAACAGAGATGTTGGAAATCACAATAAATCACCGCCATGTGATGGATAAGAGCAAATAAATCCTGGGTTCAGGGATCAGAGCCCAGAGTTAAGTCACACCCACCTGACCTGCCAAATATAAAAGTGGAAAGAAAGCCACGTGTTTTCAACAACTGAGGAAACTCCTCTGAGGTACTGTTCCACTCACATCTGGGTGAGTGGCGTGGCCGGGGGTTACCTTACTCAGGGGCCCTGCGGAGGGTGACCTGAGGGGACGAACGGCACTGGAATGGCCATACCTATTGGTAAATAGCTGATACTCCTCTCCCCCAAGTGCTACCATGATCCAGCCACTGGATGGCTGACCCCTGGCATCGGCTGGGAGTGGGCCTCTGAGACCTGCTCCCCGGCTGGTCAGTGCTCGAGGTTTACTGGTGGTTGCGTATTTTCAATATCACCCCTGAATGGCAGGGATCCGAAAGCAGAAACTTCCATTTCAGGCTCTGCTTTGAATCTGTTATGATAAGAAAACTGATGATTTTCTACCTGAAAAGTATTGGTGAAAAGGCCTTCTTTTCTTTTCGGTAGGTACCACGGTGGGCTCCAGCTGGCCACAGAAGGATGTGGGACCCCCCTCCGCCCCCCACCAGGGCTGCAACAATTCAAATTCTGGAGAAAAGTGGGAAATCTGTATTTTAAGTATCAGCAACCCACCTGAAGTCTTTAAAAAAGAGTCCGTGCAGGACAAACACATCCAGAACCAATGTGGCCTGCAGGCCGCTATTCTGTGGCCTCCTACCCTCCTCTGCCCCACCCACTTTGGAGAACTGCCCAGGGTCTAGAGTTGGGTCTGTGAATGTTCTTTTCCTACGGACCTTCTCTGCCCTCACTGTGTGAGAGCAATTAGATGCTAATGGAGTCTTTAGACGTCCCCTGGCGGGCCTGCTCGCCTGGTCTTTCGTGTGTGTACTGCAGAGAGGGTAGGAAAGGAGACAGGAAAGGGGGCTCCATCTTTTGGTACATCACACCCGTGAATGCTCCGTCTAGGCCTTAGAGGGTAGACTGTATAATGAATTACTACCAAGGTACAAAATGACTAACTAGAAAGGGGGAAAATGCTGACTCGCTCTTAAAGATATTTGCACTTCTTTCCTACGGAGGTGAAGTATGAGTTGCTATTAACCCTTAAGGCCCTGAATGGCTCACGAGAGGGGATGGCACACACACTGGCACCGTGGCCTTCCACTCTGGTTCCGTGGGCCCCTGCTCATGTCTGACTGACTCAGGTGCCTGAAAGCGGGGGGCTGAATGGGTGGAGGTGCCTAGCGCCCTCACTGACCGTGGAATGGTCTCCTGCAATCAAGCAAACCTCAATGGCATCAAGACCAACTCCAATCCCATGACCGTTAAGTCATGTGAGAATGCATATCCTACAGGTCACAGGTTTCCTGAGAAATTTCTAAGAGAATAAGTATTTTCAAAGAGTAAAAAAGCCAGCCCGAAGCCTCTCAAAGGAACCTACATCTTCAGGGAAAATGAGAACAAAGATGGCAAGCACGCAGTATTTTTCAAAGGTTTTTGCACAGACGCTGGTGTCCGCTGGATTTATGCATCCGTTAGACTGCTCCCACCCTAGTTTTTTCCAGTTCTCTGAAGATAAATCTGGATGGTTTACATGTCTTTGCATGAAACATGTTACAAAAATACTTTCATTTTCCTAAGTATTCCAATGTTCCATCTTTATAAAGATAGTTTTAAGAGCCTTTAAGGGTTTTCTGTGTGGGTTTTGTCTCTTTAAAACATGTGCACAGAAACCACCCACAAGCATCTGTGGACTTACTGATGTATAACAAAGCATGATTTCACATCGGCGAGGAACTACAGGTGCTGTTGTATAATTTTTATTATTGATAGTCTCTGTCTTCCTCCCACAAGTGTTCCAGAAACGGCACAAATCCTGGGTAGCCTCAAAAGACCTATTACTTACAGATATCAAAGTTCCCAGCAATGTACTTTCATTTCAATTCAGTGTTACAAACAGAAGCTTTAGAATTCAGTCTCAATTTGAAATACAGTCAAAACCTCAATTGCTATGTATATAAAGATTGCAAGGAAATACACCGAAAATGTTTATGTGGTTTTCTCTGGTGACTTTTTATTTTCTCCTTTGTACTTTTTTGCATTTTCCCAATTTTTCTACATGAGCCTAGGCTACTTTCATAATCAGAAAAATATAGTATTTCTGAAGTGGAAATAACAATCAAAATACTGCCTTATTTAATAAAGAAATATTATTTTTTATTTTGAAAGTGAATCCACGTGCTTCACAAAGTTACCATAATACATATCATCTATAGCTCTAAATATTAGAAAAGTTTGAGCCTTTTACATTTGCTAAAAGACATATGACATAATAAAGTGGCTTCAAAAACACTCTGATTAGTTTAGGAATTGCCCTTTTTTTCAAGGTTGACCATCTGTTACTGCAAACCACGTCCCTTCCAATGTAAAAGACTTAAATTGCAGACGACCTTAAAAACATGGCTTTGATTCTATTTCAAAAAATGTAAAGTAATGTGAACTTGCACTTTAAAATAAAAAGCACCTACTGTTTTTTGCTACCTTAAATTTTTCTTGGAAGAAGGAGATATAAATTATAAATAAACTGAATTTTAAATAAGGATAAAACTCTAATATACAGCAACAATTGAAAATGGGAAAGAAAAAAAACTGGCTTCCTTGGGTGTCTTTATTTACCCTGAGCAGTCCTAACTGTGGATTTGAGAAAGCAAAAACTGAAAATTTAGGAGACTAGATATGCACTCCTTCAACCCCAATCCCTAAGAAGAACTCAAGAAAGATACATTTTACAACAAGAAAAGATTGACCTACCTTTGATGCCAACTGTGATTTGAGGCCTAAGAATGAAAAGACTGTGTTGCTTTCCTTGGATTCAAAGAAACTGTCATAATCCTAGAAAAAAGAGAAGGAGAAAATAAACAAAAGCAAATGATTGTATTTGGTGCTGTTGACAAAGTCTCTATGTAAATAAAAAAGGTACCACTACTCCATCCAGGCCAGGGAAAAGGTACATAAATTACCGGATTTGCTCTGTTTGAGCCTCAACATTTGAGCATGATGATGAAGGTAACAACTTTTTAATCCAAAGTCTGTGGCAGGATTAAAATGTAAAACATTGAGGACAGAAACCAAATCAGAACATGCTCCCTCGAGTGTCAAACTAACATTTCTTTGTGTGGAATCACTCTGACAAGGTTTTACTTAAGCATTTCAACCTGAAAGGCTGCCTCCCAATTCCACTCTTGATACTTTGTTACCTAGGGCTTAAACAACAAAAAAAATCACTGTGTAAACAGAAAAGCCATAAAGGTCTCCGTGTGTCAAAGTTGAGCGCTTCTATTCCGCTTTTGAAGTTTTCCACATTCCTTGAGACTGTCTTCAGAGAGAATAAAAAGATCAAACAAAAACTAGAGGAAACTATATTCTCTATAACATTTATCTTTACCTCACAGAATCATTTTTCTCCTCCTTCTTTCAGGAGAGAAGCCATTAAGGAATTCTGGCCAATGTGTTCATCCGTTGTTTTCTTTTCAAAAGCTTGCATGTGTTAATACTATTGGACATAGTTGCTAAGGCAATGTGAAGCAGTCTTAAAATTGGAGAGAAATCCCTTGGATAATTTTAGGCAGAGGGTAAACAGCACAGGCAGACAATGATGAGAATCACCTGTAGGCAACTGCTTTGTGCTTAGCGCCAGATCATCAGCACATCCTTTAATCCCAGCTACCGCCCACCAGGTTAGAGACTCGCACAGAGCAAATAAATACGGTACCCAAGTTTGACAGCCCATACGTAACAAAGCTGAGATTTGGGCCCAAGTTTCACTGGTGTTGAAATCAATGCTTTTTGTATGCTATGATGCTTCTTGCCCAAGAGGAAACCAGGTATGGGGTACCCTGTATATCAGAGTCACTGAGCCCTCACGAACCCACTGCTGAGCTGGGTCAATGGCATGACAAATACTTGTGAAACCTGTTTAGGAATCTGAACGAGAGTGGATGACTTAGAGTGGAGATCTGCTTCTTGCAAAGCAGGCCTCAGCTGAAGAAAAATCTCTGAATTATTTGACTCTGTGTAGAGACTCTCTTGTCCAAGTGCTTTCGCAAGTTGAGCCTCGTGTGGTTGGAAGGCAGCTTGATTGCAGTTCCCGGTCATCTCAGCCTGAGGCCTTGCGGGCACTGCTCCTGATCCTGAAGCGGTCACTCCTGCTGTCATTTCGGGTCAGCCCTGAGGCCAGTCACCTGCAAAGGGAGGCCTTCCTTGACCATGCCGAGAAGGAGCAACACATCTGAAGGGGGAGGCTCAGCAAATACCTCCTTGGAAAATGGCATTTTAGGCTGAAATGTGAAGAATGAATAGAATTGGCCAAGTAAAGGGTTGGGATAGGAGCCTCTGAGACGGGAAACAGCACCGGGGAAGAGCGGAGCTGGCAGATGTGACCGGGATCAGCAATGTGCCAGACTCTGTAAACCCAAAAAACGATTTTGAATTTTATCTTAAGTACAAAAGGAAATCACGGACGGGTTCTGAGCAAGGGAGCAGAATGACCTATTTCCTTTAAGAAAATCTCTGCGTTGACTGCGTGGGGAATGGCTCAGAGAGAGGGCAGCAAGAAGAGAAGCAGGGACAAGGGTGAGGAGTGCACTGGGGGAATTCAGGTAAGAGACAGAGGCAGCCTGAACCAGAGCCACTGTCATAAATACAGGATAGGACAGACTGGAGATATATTTTGGAGGATTGATCATACTCAATAGTGTAATTGGTGTAGAGGGTTAGGGAGAATTAAGAATTAAAGCAGCTCTCGGGCTTTTCTCGGGCTTCCCTGGTGGCGCAGTGGTTGACAGTCCGCCTGCCGATGCAGGGGACACGGGTTCGTGCCCCGGTCCGGGAAGATCCCATATGCCGTGGAGCAGCTGGGCCCGTGAGCCATGGCCGCTGAGCCTGCACGTCCGGAGCCTGTGCTCCGCAGCGGGAGAGGCCACAACAGTGAGAGGCCCACGTACCGCCCCCCCCACCAAAAAGAATCAAAGCAGCTCTCGTACAACTCATCATCAAAAAACAAACAACCCAATTAAAAAGAGGTCAGAAGACCTGAATAAAACTTTTTCCAAAGAAGACATACAGACGGCCAACAGACACATGAAAAGATGGCCAACGTCGCTAATCGTCAGGGAAAGGCAAATGGAAACCACAATGAGAGATCACCTCACACCTGTCAGAATGGCCATCATCTAAAAGACCACAAATAACAAATGTGGTCGAGGGTGTGGAGAAAAGGAGCCCTCATGCACTGTTGTGGGAATGTGAATTAGTGCAGCCACTGTGCAGAACAGTGTGAAGAGTCCTCAGAAAACTAAAAACAGAACTACCATATCACCCAGCAATCCCACTCCTGGGCATATATCCGAAGGAAAACGAAAACATTAATTCAAAAAGATTTATGCACCCCAATGTTCACTGCAGCATTATTTACAACAGCCAAGATACGGCAGCAACTTAAGTGTCCATATCAACAGATGAATGGAGAAAGAAGATGTGGTATGTATACACAATGGAGTATTACTCAGCCATAAAAAAGAATGACATTTTTTCCATTGGACTTGCAGGGTATTATGCTTAATGAAATAAGAGAGAGAAAGACAAATACTGTATGCTATCACTTATATGTGGAATCTAAAAAATAAAACAAACTAGAGATTATAGCAAAAAAGAAACAGACTCACAGACATAGAGAAAAAACTAGTTGTTACCAGTGGGGAGAGGGAAGGGGGAGGGTTAAGGTAGGGGTAGGGGATAAAGAGGTACAAACTACTATGTATTATAAAATAAATAAGCTACAAGGATATATTGTACAGCACAGGGAATATAGCCAATATTTTATAATAGCTATAAATGGAGCATAACCTTTAAAAACTGTGAATCACTACGTTGTACACCTGAAACATTGTAAAAACTATACCTCAATTAAAAATTTTTTGGAAAAAAAATTTAAAGCAGCTCTGAGCTTTGTGACTTGATGGGAAAGACCAGAGAAAAAGCAGGTTTGAGGGTAAGGTTGGAGTTGAGTTTTAAAATGTTAAGTTTGAGAAACTGTATGAGACACTGAGTGAAGACGATCTCAATGGGGCAGTTGGAGGTTCCGACTGACTCTAGGTATTACAGGTTTCATAGAAACTTATGGAAAATTGTATAACTTTTAATAAGAAAAACTATGTCTCAATTTGATGTAGAATTTTAGGCAAAATCCCATGAACTGAAAATGTTGTTACCACTATTCTTTGTAACAAAGACAGTTCCAAATGAGTAGCATTTCATTGACCTGGGCTCAAGAAATAACCCTGTTTGACCCACACCTTCTCTATCTGATCGTTTGTTGTTTATATTCAATGTGGTAACAAGAGGAAGAGAGCTAAATTACAGCCAGCTTATCTCACCCTTTTAGATATCCACCATATGAAAACTGGTGTACCTGTTTCTCTCTACACCATATTCTGCCACTACTCGGTCTAAATTCTTTCCCTAGGGAATCTCAATCGCAGCCACGGCTCTAATTAAACTCAGATCCCCAGCTCTGATTCTCCTCTCAATTCTGGTTCCATGTAAGCAACTAACTGTTCATAATAGACTATTAAACATAATGGGTCTAAATCGCAATTCATGCTTTTCCTTCCACCCCACAAGCTGGACCTCTCAGAAGCCTGGCACCACCATCTAACGGGCTCTACCAGGCAGAAATCAAGCATCATAGGACTCCTCTCTTCCCTCAACCAGTAACTACCTTACATATCCCTTCAACCTCTCTGTTTTTCTACATCAGTCTCATTGCCCTGATCCAAGCTAGATATCTGCAACGGCACCTCAACATACCAACCCCTCTACAGTATACCCTATCTCCCCCCACCCCCCCGAATCATGCTCAAGTGAAGATAGACTGATCCTTTAAAAAGGCAAATTTGATCAAATCATCCTCTGCTTAAGTCCTTTCCTTCAAGACTTCTTATTGCTCCTTGTGGGAGAAGAGGGGTCTTGAACTTCTACCTGCACCAACCACTGTCTGGGTCACAGCTTCACTTCTGGGAAACCGAGTGGTATATACACTCAGTCAACTATAGATGAGATGTCCAGCAATCTACTAGCTGAGTTACGACCTTGACCAACTCCTTTAACCTCCTCAGACTGCTTCTTCCTTTCTGTATCAGATACGACCAAAGTCCCTTGAAGTTCCAGAATTCTAAAAAATAATGGAGCATTCAGTGGAGTTGCTCTTAAATGGGCTGTTAGCTGTGTCCAGATGTGAAGTCCAGCCTATGTATTCCAGTTCCTAGTGATACCTGTTTGAAGAGCTTACCTCTCTCTGAACAGGAAACAGGTTTAACCAAATAGGAAAGGGAAAGGGCAAAAGTGAGAGAAAAAAAACTAAGGACTAGTCAACAAAATGTCGTCCCTGTTCTTGAATTCTGAAAGGGCTTTACCTGTTTCTACCTGATGAATAATCTCTGATGTCAGTGTGAAAACGCAAGAATGAAAAAACTAATAATATAAGAAATAAAAAGTGAGAAACAGTGCCTGACTCAATGTCTATAAATGCAGTGTGAATTTTACTTTAAAGACGGAAGTGCTGGGACTTCCCTGATGGTCCAGTGGTTAAGACTCCACACTCCCAATGCAGGGGGCATGGGTTCGAACCCTGGTGCGGGAACTAAGATCCTGCATGCCGTGCGGCGAGGCCAAAAAAAAAAAAAAAAAAAAACAGAAACAAAAAACAACAATAAAGGAAGTGCTAACGTGAAAATACAGTGCATGCAAAAGATCAAAAGGCAAGTTACGAGACTTAATATGTATCATTCAGGTTGCAGTGTTTATATTAAAAACCTTAATCTTAAAATGATTAC